GGAGGAGGGATGAGAGAGGAGAGACGGGTAGGAGGCGTGGGAGGACAAGCGAGGAGGTGGAGGAGGAGGGAGGAAGGGGAGGAGTGAGGATCGAAAGGATGACGAGGATGACGGGGAGGAGCGAGGAAGAGAGGTGGATGACGATCGAGGAGGGGGAGGGAGGGGGGCGCAAAGAGGAAGAGGAACGCAGTGCAAAGCAATGCAACGTATTGTGCGACTGTGCCAACGCGACAGAATCGATGCTGGTTTTCAGGGTGTACGTCCTGAGGGGAGAGGGGGGAGGAGGACGAGGAGCAGGAAGAGGAGGAGCAGGAGGAGAAGGAGGAGGATGTTGGTTCTCAAGGTTCCCTGGGGTGAGAATATCGTCGACTCAGTGGTAGAATGGGGGGGAGGATGCGGACGGGGACGATGAAGGAAGGAACTCGTCGGCCCACTGGAGAATGGGGAGGGTGATGGGGAATGCGTTTTCATGTTGTCGTCGTCATCGTCGTTGTCGCCGTCGTCGTCGTCGTCGTCGTTGTCGTTGTCGTCTTCGTCGGTACCGTCGTCGTCGTCGTCATCGTCGTCGTCGTCGTCGTCGTTGTCGCGTCGATGTCGTTGTCATCGTCGTCGTCATCGTCTTCTGTCGTCGTCGTCGTTGCCGTCGTCGTCGTCGTCGTCGTCGTCGTTGTCGTCGTCGTCGGTACCGTCGTCGTCGTCGTCGTCGTCGTCGTCGTCATCGTCGTCGTCGTCGTCGTCGTTGTCGCGTCGATGTCGTTGTCATCGTCGTCGTCATCGTCTTCTGTCGTCGTCGTCGTTGCCGGCGTCGTCGTCATCGTCGTTGTCGTCGTCGTTGCCGTCGTCGTCTTCTGGCGTTGTTGTCGTCGTCGTTGCCGTCGTCGTCGTCGTCTTCGTCGTCGTCGTAGTCGTCCCCCGTGTCGTCGTCATCGTCTTCTGTCGTCGTCGTCGTTGCCGGCGTTGTCGTCGTCGTTGTCGTCGTTGTTGCCGTCGTCGTCTTCTGTCGTCGTGGTCGTCGTCGTTGCCGTCGTCGTCGTCGTCGTAGTCGTCCCCCGTGTCGTCGTCGTCGTCGCGATGGTCCGCGTTGGAGCCATGTGTCAAGAAGATTGTGGTGTTCGCCTCCACGGCGTTGCCACGTCGAATTCAATAGAGTAGTTATATTTCGTCGTGCGGCCTCACCACGTGGCGCGCAACGTTGTATTGTGTGTTGTTCGCCAGCCGTTCGTTGCCCTGTTGCGAATGGAGTTGCACTGTATGTGTTTCCACCCCGCGGCGTTGCCACGTGGCGAGTCTAATGAAATAGTTGGCTTCGCCTCCAGGTGTTTCCACGTGGCGAGTAGAGTGAGATTGTGCATGTTCGGCCCGTGCGGCATTGCCACGTGATGAGTATAGTGGAGTTATAGGTGCTGTTCCCCCCATTTCGTTGCCGACGTGGCGAGTGGAGTAGGGATAGTAGTTTGGTTTACCTCTCAGGCGTTGCCATGCTGCGAGTAGATTGGAGTAGCATTTGTTCCCGCCCCAATTCGTTGCCACGTGCCGAATAGAGTGGTGTACTCTGTGTCGCCCCGCAGGCGCTGCCACGCGGCGAGTACTGTGGAGTAGTATGCTTCCCCCCCCTGAGCGTTGCCACGTGGCGAGGAGAGTGGATCAGTATCTGTTTCGCTTTCCCGTCGTTGTCACGTGGCGAGTATACTGCAACACTAGGTATTCCGCCCCGCAGGCGTCGCCACGTGGCGAGTGATGGAGAGGCGCAGTTTAGGTGTCGCTCCCCAGTCGCTGCCACTTGGCAATTGCGAGAGTAATGGTAGTATGGTTCGCCCCAAAGACATTGCCACGTCGCGAGGAGAGTGGAGTAGCATATGCTTCGTCCCCGAGGCGCTTGCCACGTGGCGAGTGAAGTGGATCAGTTGTTCTGTTCGCGCCGCAGGCGTTGTCGCGTGCCGAGTACAGGGGCGAGGGAGGGGGGGGGGGGAGGGAGGGAGGAACAAGGAGGGAGGGGAGGGAGGAGGCAGGAGGCAGGAGGGAGGAGGGAGGCGGGTGGTTTAGCATGAGAAGGAGGGGAGAGGAGAAAGGAGGGAGGAAGGCTGAGGCGGGAGGGAGGATGCAGCAGGAGGCAGGAGGAGGAGGAAGGAGGGAGGAGGGAGGAGAGGAGGGAGGAGAGTAGGGTAGGAGGCGTGGGAGGACAAGCGAGCAGATGGAAGAGAGGAGGAGGAGGAGGAGGAGGAGGGAGGAGGAGGAGGGGGGAGGAGGAGGAGGCGGAGAGGAGGAGGAGGAGGCGGAGGAGGGAGGAGGAGGAAGAGGACGATGCTGAGGAGGAGGAGAAGGATGACGAGGCCGATTGGGAGGAGCGAGGAGGAGAGGCGGACGACGAACGAGGAGGGGGAAGGAGGGGGGCGCAAAGAGGAAGATGAACGCAGTACAACGTACTGCATCGCATTGTGCGACTGCGCCAAAGTAATGGATGCGGGGTTTCAGGGTGTACATCCTGAGGGGGGAGGGGATGAGGAGGAGGAGGAGGAGGAGGAGGAGGAGGAGGAGGAGGAGGAGGACGTCGGTTCTCGTGTTGAGGAACTCGTCGGTACATCGGTGGAAGGGGGGAGGACGAGGAAGGGGAGGAGGAAGGACATCGTCGGCGCAGTGGAGGAGAGGGAGGGTGATGGGGAAGGATTTGTTTCCTGCCGCTTGTCTTATCGCCAGGGTGCGGTTTGGTGGTCGCCTCAGGGGAGCGAGTGAGGGAGTAGGGTGACCGAGGGGGAGGCGGACGAGGAAGAGAATGAGCGAGAGGATGAGGATGAGGAGGAGGAAGATGAGGAGGACCAGTGTAAACCCACGAGTCATCAACGATGTTATAATGCACCCTCCCTCCAAGCTGCCTTTTTCACAGGCCCCTACACAGTGTCATTTCCATTGTTGGAGCTGCCTCGTTGGAAGACAACCGTTTGAAGACCCTGAAGCATGCCAAACATTGTTCTCGGGTTTCCAACGCCACGGATCAACCTGACTGTTGCGTTGTTCGATCCTGAATCGTGTCAGATCGCCGTTCTTGGGACTCCTTCTAACGCACCATGTCTTGTACTTTGATCATGGGAATCCGTGAAGCTTTTGCACATGCTATTAACGAATGTGTGCGGCGCTGGGAGCCACATTTTGAAAAGGAGCCGCCCTCAATCCGTGAAACTCTTGCACAGGATATTAACGAATGTGCGTGGCGCTAAGGCGAGAGTTACACTTAGAAACCAGGTTCCCCTCGACCTGTGAAACTCTTGCAAATGGTTAAAGCGAATGTGCGCGGCGCTGAGGCGAGAGCCACCTGTTGAAAACGTGTCGCCCTCAATCCGTGAAACTCTGGCAAATGTTTAAAAGCGAATGGGCGCGGCGCTAAGGGGAGAGCCATTTTCGAAAACGATTGCCCTCCATCTATGAACCTGCTGCCATGCTTGAAGCTTCAGGGTCATACGTAGTGAGGAAGTCTCTGGCGAGATGCCCGGGTGCGAGAGGGAGTATTTATGCATAAGGAAAAGGAATGGAGGAGGAGGAGGAGGAGGAGGAGGAGAAGGAGGAGACATTGGCATTCTCGATCTCTGTTTTGGGGAATTTCTGGGTTTACCGTTCGCGTTTTTTGCTTACGTCTAGCCAACGGAATGTCTGGGTTTGCACTTTCGGGATTTCCGGGTTAGCTCTCCGACCCAATGAAAACGTGAGGCATTCGATGCAATGCGTTGTTGTGGTTATTGATGTCATGGTGGGCATTGTGATTGTGAAGGTCTTACGGTCAGTGCCGCCGACCTTGGAGACGGCGACGAGGACGACGAGGAAGAGGAGGGGGGGGAGGAGCAGGAGGAGGAGGAGGAGGAGGAGGACGCAGTGGAGCAGCAGGAGGATGAAGAGGAGGAGGAGGAGGGGGAGGAGGAGGAGGAGGAGGAGGGGGAGCAGCGGCAGTGGGAGGACGGGGGAGAGAATGAGCAGCAGGAGGACGATGCTACTGGGAGACGGAGGAGCAGGAGAAGAAGGAGCACGTGGATGAGGGGGATGAGGAGGGGCAGGAGGAGGAGGAGGAGGAGAGGAAGATGTCGAGGTAAGGTTGGGGCCTCTGGCGGGGTCTCTGGTGGGCATTTTGGGTGCGTTTGGGGGGAGACTCGTGGAGGGCCCCTTGGGAGCCTCTTGGGGGCCTCCAGGGGCTTCCTGGGGGTTTCTTGAGGGCATCTCGGAGGCTTCCTGGGGCCTCGAGATGTCCGTTCGGGTCCCCCATCTTGGCACCCTCTTGGAGCCGTCTTGGATGTCTCTTGGTCTGTCTTGGAGGCGTCTCGGGCCGTCTTCGGGCCCTCTTCGGCATTTGTGAATCTCTTGGAGGACTTCGGGTTGTGCTGGGGTGATCCTGGGGGCCTTTGGGGCCGTCTTGGAGCGTCGGGAAGCGGAAGAGGCGAGAACGCCAACAATGTTCAACAATTTGGGGGCAATTGATGAATGTTGCTTCTTGGGGGTCTTTTGGGGAGTGCTCCTGGAGGCCTCTGGGGGCATCTTGCAGGCCGCATGGGCCGTCTGGAGGCCGCCAAGGCATCTTGGAGCTTCTTGGGGACCTCTTCGGGCACTCTTGGCTCGTCCTGGTGTTTTTTTTGTGACCAGGGACCTCCCCCCCGCGATCCCCTGGGACCCTCCCTGGGCCCCCCCCCCGACGGGGGAGGGATCAAAGGGAAGGGGCTTCCCTTCGACTGAATTACGACGTTGCTCAATTTCGTTTTGGCTGGCGTGCTTGAGAAGGAGGGCCTAGGAAAAGGGGGGGAGCGGCGACGGGCCCAGGGAAAAACGGGGCCGCAGGGAAATGCGACGACAGAGACGACGACTAACGAATGACGGAGACGGCGACTCGAACGGACAAGCCCCTCACACACGCCGACAGGGTCGTCGGATCTGACGCCATTAAATGTGAGTCATTCAATGCAATTCCTTGCTGTGGTTATTGATGTCATGGTGGGCATTGTGATTTGCGCAGTCGGGGATCCGAGGTGTCGAAGACAAGATGAAGCCACTGGCTGGTTACGACAAGTGCCCGGCTTAGTTGTCCGCGTTGCCGTGATAAAAGTTTTGCGCGTTTGACAGCTGGTCTTCGTCAAGTGAATTTTTGTTGCATCGAACTACCATGCATGTGTCCGACCACATACAACATCACGGTTTCCATAATGCAGCCGTGCGCGCGTTGAGTGCCTTGTGTTTCAGGTCGAAGTCGTTCTTTGACAACATCTCCTGCGAGGCTGCACTTCGTGTCCTCTCTTCGCTGATGGCTTCAGTGGTCATGCGCTTTCTCATGCGCCGGCCATGCGCCCTGGCGTTTCGTTGCTCGTTCAACGTTGTTGTTCTTCACGAAAATGTGCGATATTAGGGAATACAAGAAGTAAGCAACGCTATGCGCTAGAGGCGTAAGATGTTAGAAAGCTAGTTCATGGCCCGAAACGCCATCCACAGCTGTCTTGCGAAGGTCGCCCGTTTGGCAAATTCAAGAATTGGCAGGCTTTGGGAGGGAGAAAAGGGAATTGAAGGAGAGGAAGACGGACGAGGAGGATAATCAGGCGGAAGAGATGAAAGGCAGGATGACTATGAGGCGGATGAAGCCACTGGGTAGGCTCTGTCTGACGAAGGTCGCGAAGCGAGGAGGAGGAGGAGGATGAAGAAGAGAGGACGAAGACGGCTTCGATCACCGCTTCGGAGACAGAGGCAATGATTTCCACTTGAAGCGGAAGAGTGATCGTTAGGGATATATGTATATATATATATATATATAGAGAGAGATGTGTTAGTAGGGAGATATATACATAGGGAGAAAGAGAGAGAGAGAGAGAGGTGTTAGGGATATATATATATATATATATATGCATATACAAACACACATATATGTGTATATCTATATATATGTATATATACACATAACGGCGCACCAGTCCCAGCGGCCGAGGGCCGGGACCTCGACTGCAATTGTGGGTCCCGGGGCCCAGGTCCGCCTGTGGGAGGCTTTAAATCACCCCGGGGAGCCCTCAGACAGCAATCTTGGCGGCCCCAGACGGTCTCGAGACACCGCCAAGACGCCGTCCAGGGGTCTCTGGCGACGCACGACGCGTTTTAAATTGCCCCAGAGGTCCCCAAGACGCCCCGAGAGGCCTTTAAGATGCCGCCCAAGAGCGCCCCGAGAGGGCAAAATCGTTGATGTTCATTGTTGTTTGTCAGTGTTTTTCCATTCTCGCTGTTTCGTGTTTCTGGCGCTAAAGCACCGCCCAAGAGGTTCCCAAACCGCTGCAAGACGGTCCAAGAGGCCCCCAAGAAGCCCAAAAGAGGCTCCAAGAGAGCTCCGAGACGAGACGGCCCCAGAGCCGCCCAAGACGGCGCAAGAAGGCCCCAAGAAGGCCCCAAGAGGGGCCCAAGAGAGGGAACGCGAACTGAAAAATCAAGCTCTCCGCCCCAAGAGGCCCCCAAGAGCCCAAGAGGCCCCCAAGAGGCTTCCGAGCGGCCTCAAGCAGCATCCAGGAGGCCGGAAAGAGGCCCCCAAGGAGCCAGCCCGGCGGTCCAGGCGGGGGCCGAACGAACATTTCCAGCCCTGGGCTCCCAGAAGACCAACAGGAAGCCCCACGTAACTCGCAAGACCCCCCCCGACGCTCCCGAGACGCCCTAAAGGCTTCCCAGACAGCCCAACATGCCAAAAACAAAGCGCGAATGCAAATGATTTCCGCGTTTCCGCATCCATGCGGTTCCGAGGCTTGCGCAGGGTCTCCAAGAGAGTCCCTGGATGCAAGAAGCGACAAAAATGATATTCCATGATTTAGCCCATCAATCCTAACTTGAACTTGAGCGCGCGAGAAGCGCGCGCGAGGGTTATAGTGTACATCAAATGGGGAAATGGACCCGAATAGTTCGGATGCCCCCTCGCGAACAAGCCCACTGAGGCCGCAGGCGGACCTCCTCCAGGCACGACCCGTGCGAGGCATGTTCCGAAATGGGCGGGTGCACGCCATGCGAAGGTGCCCATTGGTGCCATAGGTGGAGTTCCTTCTGGGGCGGGATTCGTGTGACTGGTTTGCCGACATGGGCGGGGGGGCGCTGTACGAACCTTGTCTCTGGGCTTTCCCATGGTGCTCCTTAAGGGCACGATCCGCGTGATGTGGTGTGCCGCAATGGCTACGGGGTGGGGTGGGTGCAGTGCGAACACTGCCTCTGAGGCCGTAAGTGGGGATCCTTGTGCGCCACGATCCGTGTGAGAGGTGTGCCGAAGTAGGCGGGGGGGGGGGCAAGATGCGAACCTTGTCTCTGGGGCCATCCGTGGAATGCTTTGCGGGCCACGATCTGTGAAGCTGCCCTCTGGTGCCACACGTGCAGTTACTTGCGGGGCACGATCCGCCTGAGGGGCGTGCCATTCTGAGAACCTTGTGTCTGGAGACGTGGTGGGAGCTCTCTGTGGGGCGCGATCCCTGTGAGGGTTGTGCCGACATGGACGGGGGGACGCTAAGCCAAGCCTGTCTCTGCGGTATCAGCGACCTCAGGGCCGCCCAGACGGCCCTACGTGGCGCCACAGAGACCAGAAGGCTTCATGATGTCCCCCGGGATTTCTGGGCAACCCGAGATAGCTTCAAGACGGCCCAGGAGGATTCGACTTTCGCTCCCCAGAGGGCCCCAAGAGGGAAAAACCATTGACTTACCATAAGTTGTTTCGATGTTTGGATTCTGAATTCTAGAGCTTCCGACGCTCCACGACGGCCCAAGAGGCGTCCAAGACCGCCCCAAGACGGCCCAAGGGACCCCCAAGACCGCCCCAAGACGGGCCAAGAGGGTCCCAAGACGGCCCCAAGAGGGGCCCAAGACGGCCCAAGAAGAGCCGCCTAGACGGCCTTAATGGCATCACAGTGACACCAGAAGGTTGCGAGATGTCCCGCGGGCTTCCAGGCAGCCCCAGATAGCTTCAAGATGGCCCAAGAGGATTCCACTATCGCTCCCCAGAGGGCCCCAAGAGGCAAAAAACATTGAATCACCATGGGTTGTTCAATGTTTTTGGGATTCTCGACTTTCGAGCTTCCGACGCTCCACGACGTCCCAAGAGGCCTCCAAGACCGCCCCAAGACGGCCCAAGGGACCCCCAAGACCGCCCCAAGACGGGCCAAGAGGGTCCCAAGACGGCCCAAGAGTGGCCCATGACGGCCCAAGCCCGAAGACAGCCCAAGAGGGTTTCAAAGCGGCCAAGGTGCACTCAAAGGGACTCCCACGAGGCACTCAGGAGGCGAACAATAAGTAGGTTATTCCTATGTTTCGTGCTTCCGACGGTCCAAGACAGCCCACAAGGCCCCAGAAATCCATTCAAGACGGCCCAAGAGGGCGCCACGACGGTGCAAGAGAGGCCCAAGAGCGCCCCAAGACGGCCCAAGAGGCGCCCAAGATCGCCCAAGAGGGCCCCAAGAGGGGTCCACGAGGGGGAACACGAACAGACAATTCGAGCCTTCCGCCCCAAGAGGCCCCTAGAGGCCCCCAATAGAGCCCAAGAGGCCCCCTAGAGGCCCCACGAGGCCACAAAGAGACCCAAAAGGAGGCCCCAAGAGCACCCCAAACGGCCCCCAAGAGGCCTCGAAAACTGCCTTCCAGAGGCTTCCCAAACTGCATCCAAAGCATGGCATAGCATTGCATTTCATTGCGTAGCCCGGCATGCCGTGTCTGTGCATACCATGTAACGCGGTAGCATCGATCTTCATAGGAAACATAGCATGATATGGTTCAGCGTATCATTCCACATATTACCACAGCATTCCACATCACAGCATGGCATGGCATGCAATGCGCACTGTAGAGTATATCATCTTATTGCATTGTATACTGCATCGTGCCATTGCGCTCTGTAGCGTAGCATGGTGTATCGTGGCATTCCAGAGCATAGTGCAACATGGCGCTGTAGCGCTGCATTGCTCCTGGCCCGTAGCTTGGCGACAGATCACCGGTCGACCGGTCGATGAGAGCGGGGGAGGAGGAACGAGGAAGAGGCAGGAGGAAAAAGAGAATGTTGACCTCATTATTCATGACCGCCTGGTTGCTCTCAATGCGGTCAGCACTCGAGCAGCTAGAACTTAAGCGCGAGCAAAGCGCGCGCGTGGTTCTAGTGTGCATATATATACATAGAGAGAGAAGAACATAACTATGTAGAGAGAGAGAGATAGGGAGCGACAAACATCTAGAGGTACTGAGAAGGCAATCTGAGGATGGCGATGCTCACAATAGAGACCTCATCGTGACCATCGAGAGGCGCACATCTGATTCAAATACTGTTTGAGAGATCACAGCGCTAATGCACAGATGTGAGAGTCCACCCCCTGGCCAGACAGCTGTGTGCGCGTAGCGGTTGTGACATAAGGGTCCACCAGTAAAAGCCCCCCCCCTGCACGCCGTATCTCAAAGTTTACGGACGTCCACGCCGGAAGTGAGTGTGGAGTGTTGCGAAATGAGCGCGCACTCTTGCGAGGGCCCATCGCGTCCCCATCAACCTTCAAATGCGGGGGCGAGGGGGGTGCGTTTCGACGTCCCGTTATCTGGGCCCGACACGGGCGCTTACTTGTGCAACCAGCGGTGTCACATCGTTCTGCTATAGCCAGAGTTCCTGAGGGGCGGAAGTCAGGGGCAACGATAAGGGGAAATAGGCATAATTAGGGGGGATGCGTCGACCCACCATCGCCCATTGATCGCTGATAGCGGCCCGATAGCCCCACCCTGCCCAGGAAGGTGCGGACTTGTTATCGGGGGCCTATCGCCGATCTATCGGCGATGCATCGCCGATTCCATGTTGATGCATCCCCCCTGTGCCGGCCCTCCCCTATCGTTGCCCCTCGGGAAAGGGCCGTCTCCGTTTCCACGTCCCTCCCCGCCCCTGGCCGGGCTTCCTGCTGACACATTGGGTGGTGCGACGAGGAGGCAGGGCCACTTATCGGGGGGGGGATGTGACGAAAGGAATGGCGGCGACGATTGGCAGCATCTCTTGCCCATTAGAACAAGAGGTGTACTCACGGGGGGATGCATCGACCCCCCCTGGCCCATCGCCCGTAGATCGCCGCTAGGGGCCTGATAGCCCAGTTTCGCTACCGAGAGCCTATCGCCGATTTGTCGGCCATGTTCCGATTCAGGATCAATGTTGACCCCCCTGAGCCAGTCTCAGGGGCGGCCTAACCGCCCCCTGGTAAACCATCCCCTTCCGTGACGTCCCCCTCGCCTCGCCCCAAGACGTATGTATGCGGCCACAGAGGAGTCTGAGAGGCGACGGGGACGTCACGGAAGGGGATGGTTTGCAAGGGGTCGGTTAGGCCGCGCCCGACGGTCCCACCCTTGCCGTTCCCCCGCAGGTTCGCTGTCGGTGTCGCCGCAGGGACGCTGCCCGTGCGAGGTGGGCGTCGCTTGCCTGGCAGTGGCTGCCGTCGGGTCTGGAGGACGTTCGCTGCTGGACACTGTCTCCGCTCTCTCCTGCAGTTTTGCAGCGCATGGGAGCCTCGCACGGCCGCACCGAGGTACAAGATCGAGGTCGGTTCGGGGAGGGTACTCTAATTTTATTCGTGTTTGTTGAATGCTCTTGTGCATCTTGGGGCGGGGAGGGTACCTTCGAATGCTCTTCAGTTCAGCCGGCGGAGGGTCTCATATGCTTGAGGGATGGTCTTCTCTTCTAGGTCCGGCCGTATGCCCTCGGAACTTCGTCTTTAGAGTGCATTCGCTTGCGTCAGCGGTTGGTCGTCGATTAGAAAGCGCCAGATCAGCGTCGATGAGTGTCGATGTAGCGTCGCTTGGCTTCGACTGGCGTCGATTAGCGTCGGTTCGCTGCTGGCGCCGATTCGCAAGTGTCAGCAAGCTGACCTGGGAGGCCCCCATGGTTTGCCGCAGAACTATCCGCCTCCAGAGACCTCTGGAGATCTTCAGAGACGGCCGTCGTCTTCGTCCTCGTCCTCGACCTCGTCCTCGCCGGCGTCATCGTGGTTCTCATCCTGAGGAGGAGGACCAGTGGCGCGGAGCAGTTGCTTGGAGCATGGTAGTCTGTGCAGCCAGAATTGCCGCCACCAGCGGGCGGACAATAATCGTTTTTGTTTGATACTGCCTTGGTGTGGAGCCCGATTTTGTCCACGCCGACAGCGCCGGGGGACAGGGCCGAGGCCCGGAGAGAGACAACCGTGTGGCTCCTTGCGTCTATGATGGCTGGGCTGGACGTGCCTCGATGAATCTGGCAAAACAAAGTCATCGTGGTCCTCGTCCTCGTCAGGGCTGGACCTAAACGGTGTTTCTGGTGACTTCTGGGGCCGTTTTCGTTCCGCCTTCGTTCTGCAGCAGAGGCGGATTGGAGACAAGAGCGAGGGAGAACGACAACAAAACGGGAACGAAAAACACCGTTCACGTTCAGCCCTGGTCCTCGTCTTCGTCGCCGGCGTCCCTGGGCTCTGGCGCGCCAAAGGCCTGTCGGGAAGAGCACCGCACCATGTCAGAGCCCCGAATCATCAGGGGTAACTCGGGTCAGGGCTAACTCGGGTTTCTTTTTCGGGAATCCGAACCCGAGTTACCCTGGACCCGAGTTACCCCGGATAATTCGGGCGCCCAGAGCCCCACATCATCAGGGGTAACTCGGGTCAGGGCTAATGCGGGTTCCTTTCTCCGGAATCCGAACCCGAGTTACCCAGGAAGGCAAAAAACACAGTCACAATTCATCGTCGATTCCCAGGAAAATATGGGAAAATATGGGAAGTGGGGGGGAAGACAAAACCCACCAAATATGGGAAAATATGGGGAATATTTTTATTTGTGTGTATTTATTTGCGTGTCCTGGGGCCCTTCAGTTACCCCTGGATAACTCGGGCGCCCAACCCCGCGGAGGCGGGGCGGCGGGTGCCCCCGAGCGGCCCGCGGATGCGCGGGGGGGACCGCGCCAGGCCTCCGAGCGGGCGGCCGACTCCGAGCGGGTCAAGGCCCGTGCCGGTCTCACCGCCTCTGCTCAGGAGGGGCCAGGACAAAACGACGCGAAGATCAGAACAAAATCGGATCGGGATAACTCGAAATCTCTGAGAATCGGTGGGTTTGGAGGATGTGTTGGGCGCCGCGGCCGCTCCAGAGCGTTCCGGAACGCTCTGAGAGCGCTCCGGAACGCTCTGGAGCGATTTATCCTGATCCTAGCCCTGTTTTACCAGAACGCACAGACATGCAGTGGAGACGCTGAAATAAGGAACAGTGTGGGTTCGGAAGGGGCTCGATGTTCTTTAGGTCCCCTGCGAGGCCCCAGAGTGACCCTGCAGAGGGCAGCGCCTCGGTCCGGTCCGAACTGAGCCTCCCGAGTAGGGCCCATAGACGAGGCAAGAAACACGGAAACCATGGCCAGGATGTCGCCGTATTTGTTGATGCCGATTTTGGTCATGGTCATGGTCCATGTCAGCCGCCGCGGGGGGTCTAGGTTTTGTGGGGGGCCCGCCATTGAGGCGAGGTGACCTCGACCCCCCTCCACATGATGGGGGTGCACAGGCGATTGATGCGCTGGTGGCGCGGACGCACCCTGCCGGGGCTACGCCGCGGCCGCCTTTACCCTGAACCGTCCCGCCCGACCCCCCCGCCCCGGGTAACGACCGTTGCCCGGGGAAAATAAACGGCCATACAAGAACCTTGAGCCCCGACGTTGTTGCGATTGCGACATCACGAAAAATCACGACTGGAGCCTCAGACTTCAGTTTTCTGCACCACCTCTCGAGCCAGATCGATCCGCGATGGCCCCGAGCACCGAGGCTGGGCGACAACGCGCAGTGCGAACACACATGCGACGCCCAGATCGCAGGGCCGTCCGAGATCTGGGTCCTGGGCCGAACAAGAACATCCAGCCGAACGAAAGGGGGGGGGGCAGGGAAAGGGGGGGGTTACGAAGTCTGCTGCATGCAGCTGGTTCCGGCCCCGCCGCCGGGCCCATTCCTCGATACATGGCCGCCCCCTGGCGCCGGGAGGCGCCGGGAAAATCAGCCACGTGAGCTGATTCTCAAACCCCCCCTTTGCTATAGCTCCCCCTTTCGCCCGGCCCGAGAACAGCTGGGGTTGGAGGATCGCGCCGCGCCGCCGTTGCGCAGCGCAGAGTGGCGGCTCGGCGTGGAACCCGGCCCCCGGGGCCGCCGACGCTGCGCCTCCGCGGCGCCGACGGGGCGCCCCTGGCCAGGCCGCTGGCGGGGTGCACCCCGTCCCGCTGCGATCTTCCTCCCCCTCCCCTTCCTTCCCCTCCTCCCCCTCCGCCCCCCCCCCCCCCCCCCAGAGATCCACCGTATTGAAAAAATCAAGACGGAGGTTTCTCGCAAATTTCGGCCCCTAGGGGCCCTCGCCGGGCCTCGGGACCCTCAAAAACGACTCAGGATGAAAAACCGGTTCTGGGGAATGGGTCGAGACTTCCGGGGATCCCGTATTGAAAAAATCACGACATCGGATCTCTGGGCCCCCTCCTCCTCCTCCTCCAGGCTATCGAGTGACACGGATCTGCAGGACAGCCAACCCGCATAGTAAGGATTGGCAACCTTCCCAAGGGTACCCTTGCATCCTTGCCTCCTCGGTCGATACTTCGCCGCTTTCGCCGGCCGCGCCCCGCTTCCATCTCGGATATAGCCAGGACCCCAGGTGAGGGGATCCGGTTACTGGTAGGGCCCCGGAGCCCCTGAATTGGCCAGGGTCACTAAACCAGGTCTGCCGTAGCTGGTGTTTTTTCGGGTGACGGCAGTTCCGGTCAGTGGAACGGGGCGGGGGGGCGTCTTCCAGTACACATCACTAAACCAGGTCCCGCTAAACCCAGTTCTGCCAACGCCCGACCATCGCCTCCGACGATCGGGGTGGCAACGATGGCGCCGGAATCTTCGATGCAAGGCGCCCGGGGCGCCGCGTGGGCGCCGCTGGGAGATCTACTAGCCGTCGATCCCATTGTCGATCTCAGTGTCGAACTCGCGATCGCTCTCCCGGTCGATCTCACGATCAATCTCATCATCGAGTTCACAATCGATGCCACATTTGATCCTGCTATCGACCTCTAAGCAGATCTCACGGAACATCTCGCATCGAGCTGCGCCCGGTACGGTCGAGTCACCAGCGGGTCAATATCGCGCGGGCCAAATAAGTATCACCACAACAGCCATTGCGGCCGCGAGCTTCGCTGGGCCACTATGGAAGGCAAGTGGCGACGGCGGCGACGATGCTAGCGACGATGAGTCGTGATCTTGTTTTGCTCGAGCCTGGTCGCGCGGAAGCTAGCGGCTCAAGACCCGACAGAGCCCTACATTGCTCGGGCCGAAGAGCCTGGCAGAAGGCGCGCCTAATCAAGCGCTCCCGCTGCTCCCCCGTTCCCGCGCCGAGCCGTGCCAGGCGCGCCGCGCGGCGGGCGGTGGCGCCGAGCGCCGCGAGGCTCTCCCCGCCCGGGCAAGCGGACACGCGAGCCTCCCGACCGCGTTGCGCCGCGGCTGGTCGCCCCGCGGCGGGGTCGCGAGCCCTCTGATCCGCTGCCAGCGCCCGGCGCACTGGCAGAGCCTGGCGCCGCGGCCTCCGAACGTGCCCGCTCGGGGCGCGCTCGCAGCGCCGCCTGGCGCGCGCCGACACGCTGGCTCCGAGCAGGCCGCGCGGTCAGACGAGGGGGCGAGAACAAAAAGGGAAAGGATTCGTCCAGGGGAGGAGAGGAGGCGGGCAGAGGAGGAGGGACGGGTGGGTGTGGGGGGGGCATTTTTGGGCCGGGCCCGTCGTCGACGACGATCGCGGCCCCGCTCGCTGTCGGCAGGCTTGCCGCCGCGCCCTTGAGATCTATCCGCCACTGTTTCGCGCCGCGCCCCCAGGCGCGCTTGGGTGGCTTCCTGTCTTTAGGGGCCGGCTTTCTGGGCCGGGGGGCGCGCGGGTCCGCCGTGCGCTGATGTTGTCAGCGCTGCGCTTGACGGCGGCGACGCCCGCCGCGCGGCGCGCCGACCGCCTCTGCCACGCCTCCTCGTTGCGCTACTCGTTGGCTCCGATCGGGCTGCGGCCCCTCCTCCGCCGCTCCTCGGCGGGCCGCGGCGCGCGGAGCGGCTCGCCCAGCATCGGAGCGAAGGCCGCGTCGCCCGCGGGCGCCGGCAGGTCGACGCGCGTCGGCGACGGCTCGCTCGGCCAGGCGACGCGCAGAAGCTCGCCCGACGCGCCGGCGCCCGCGGAGCCTCCTGCTGCCGGGGCATCGGGCGGAAGCGCGCTTCTGCCGCGCGCTCTTCTCCCCTCGGGCCCGGCGTGTGGGGCCCGGCGAAGCGCCCCGCCGCCGCGTCGTAATCCCCGGTCCGCTTGACCTCCGCATCGCACGCCTCCCGGCGCCGCGCCCAGCGCCCCCGTTTGCCTCGCCCGCGCAACCCCAGGGGCAGCATCGCCACTGGGGCGAGGCCGCGAAGATCATGAGACCTGGGCATCGCTGCACGCGAACCTCAGGAGCTACTGCTCGCTCCTGCTCGCGGTTCGCCCAAGCCACCCCGCGCGGCGCGCGGCGCGTCTAATCCCGGCGCGGCAGCCCCGCGCCTGAAACTCGAGGCCTGAACCAAAATGGTTACGGAGGCCTCTTTGGGCTCCCTTGAGGACCTCTCCGGAACCTCTTGGGCTTTGACATCCAGAGCGGGCGCTTTCCACGAGCGGTGCCGCGACCGATCTCACTACACTATCGCTTGCACTGTCGATCTCACTATCGATCTCTCGATCCCACGATCGATCTCACGATCCTGATCGATCGCGCAGTCGATCGCATTATCGATCTCACGAGCGATCTCACTGATCTCACGATCTCACAAGCTACCATCGAGACCCCACGGCGGGACATAATCAGCCGCCGTCGGGACACCACCGACGGGCCACCGACGGGCCGCCCCCGCGCTCGCTTGGGGGGGGAAGTGGTCAAGCGGCTCCGCGGCCTCCCAGGCACGGCGGCATCAAACCTGTCGAGCCCCCGCAGGTTTGCCTCGCCCGCGCGCGCGACGCGAACGCGAAACTGAAACCGATTTCCCGGGTGGGGGGCTTTCCGTTCCGTTGCGATCTAACCCCAATTTCCAGACAATGAGTTGCTCAGCTATCGCGCAAGTCTGTCCAGGGGGAGGAGGGGTTCCCTTTCCAGTTTCATTGGGACCCCCCTCGACCGCCCTTCCCCCCATGGGAGCACTCCCTGTGACCACTTCTAGGGTGGGGAAGGGATCAAAGGGAAGTTTCTTTTGACGTGATTTCGACGCACGGCGATGTAATTCGATTTCGTGTTGGGTCGGGCGTTTGAGGAGGAAACTTCAGATCAACCGACCCCTCGCACACGCCGACAGGGTCATCGTATTTCCTCCCTCCTCCTTCGTCTCTTCTCCCTCGTCCGTCTTCCCTCCCTCCTGTTAGTTCCTCTCGTCATATTGGTGCCACCCGCTGGGCATGTATAGGGGTTTCGTGCTAGAGTGGCGTGCGTGGGACCTCGTGCCGCAGCGGGGGGGCGCTACTCCAGGCCACCCAAAAGGGGGTCGAAGCAGATGCCTCGGAGGATCACGCCGCATCGCCGATGCATCGGCGGTACGGCGCAATCTGGAATCTGGAGCCAGTTCTCCTCCATCCCATCGGCGACGTGGGGCGATCCTCCGACACGATTTGTTTTGGGCCCATGTGGGGGTCTTCAGGTGGGGGGGACGGTCGAGGGACAGGCAAAGCGCGAGAGAGAGAGAAAGAACAACAAAAAAAAGGCGGGGAGGGGGACGCAGGGGTCGCCCGAATGCCCCATGCCAGCGCCCCCCCCGAAGGTGACCGAGCGATGGGAACCGTAGGTCACCCGAGGGGACGCGAGGGTGACCGCGCTTCGCGCATCGCGGCTTGCGCTGAAGAGTGTTGGAGAGGCGCCCTTCTCCACGGCGCAAAGATGTCCGCGCGTCGCGCATCGCGGGCCGCGATGCGTGAAGTTAGGTGACCTAGGACCAGGGGGGAGGTGGGGAGTTGAGACTACCGTCCTGCAACCCCAGAGCATCACTCTCATACCGGAACCTGCAGAACCCGAACTCAAGGCCCCTGCGGGGGAAGTCCTCTCACTCCTCGCAAGAAGGGTGGGTGGAGTGGGGGGGGAAGGGAAAACCGCCCGCGCCCCGGAGATGGACCGAGACAAGGCCCGCCAGTTCGACAAGGATGGCCGCTGCGCTTGCCCTCGCCCCCCTTGTCGGACGAAGCGGGGGGGGATTGTTAGGGAAGAAGGAGGGGGGGAGGAGGAGGAGAGGGAGGAGGAGGAGGAGGAGGAGGAGGAGGAGGAGGAGGAGGAGGAGGAAGACACGAGGAGGACACGAGAGAGGAGGAGGAGGAGGAGGAGGAGGAGGAGGAGGAGGAGAAGGAAGAAAGGCCCACAGTATCCCTGTGAGGAGGAGACGAGGACGCTGTGCTGCCCAAGTTTTGTTCTCCCTCTGTCTCGCTTCGCTCTCTTCCCATTCTGCTGGAACCACATCGTGGGGTCATGCAGTTCAAGGGCTGAAGGGCCGAAAGGAGGAGGAGGAGGAGGAATAGGAGGAGGAGGAGGAGGAGGAGGAGGAGGAGGAGGAGGAGGAGGAGGAGGAGGAGGAGGAGGAGGGCGTGTCGGACGTTCGAGGTTCGAGGTTTTCGGGCGTTTTCGTGGGTGCTCGGTGGTTTTCGCTCTTCGGAATGTGTGTTTCCAGAAGCCGCGCCTCGCCGAGCACCGCTAGGGATGCTAGAATCGCCCCGAACGGCCTCCAGAGAACCGAGCTATGGCCCGAGCGCCCGGCGACGAGGATCACCAGCGTCGGACGGAAGGGAGACCGGTAAATGAGGAGAGTGATGATACACGTGGCGTGCAGCCGCTTTCGGCCCCGCCGCCGGGCGCTCTCCTCGATGCACGGGCGGCCTCGCGGGCGCCTCCCGCATGGAGAGGCGCTGGGGAGACCAGCTGCGTGGGTTGAAGCGCCGAAGCTTTTTGTGCCATCTTCACTTGTCCGCCCGGACCTCAAGGGGAAGAAGCCACCCCGAACCCACTAATTGGAGTGTACTAAACGGCCCTGGAAGTTTACGACGCGGCCTTGCCCTGTTCGATTCCCTCGTTGGGTTCGCTGACTAAACCGCCTCGCTTGTCGGAACAGCGATTCAAATCAATGGAACGCAGTGTAAAGCAATGCAAGGCAATGCAATGCGGAGCAATGCAAGCAATGCGGAGCAATACGACGCAAGAAAAAAAAATATGTTTAAAACACGACATTGCAATGCTCAGCAATGTAACGCAAAACCATGCACTGCAAAGTAACGAGAGGAACGCAATGCAATGCAACTCAATGCAACGCAATGCAACGCAATGCAACGCAATCCAACGCAATACAAAGCCATGCAAACCCATGCAATGCAATGCAACGCAATGGAACGCAATTCAAACCAATGCAGCACAATGCAAAGCTATGCAAATCAATGCAGCACAATGCAAGACAATGCAGAACAATGCAAAACAATGCAAAGCAATGCCCAGCAATGCATTGCAATTCAAAGCAATGCAACGCAAGTCAATGCCATGCGATGCAAAGCAATGCAAAGCAATGACAAGCAATGCGAGGCAATGCACAACAATCCAACAGCAATGCAATGCGATGCTTTACAATGCAATGCATTGCAGAGCAATGCCAAGCAATGCTAAGCAATGCAAAGCAATGCAAGGCATTGCAAAGTCGGAGGTGAGGGGGTGAGATCGAAGTGGAACGGAGAGCCCCCTACCGGGAAATCGGTTTCGGTTTCGTGTTCGTGCGTGCCGTGCGTGCGGGCGAGGCGAAGCTGCGTGGGCAGGCGAGAAGAAAGTCTCTTCCGGCTGAGGCGCGGCCGGACCAAATGATTTCCTTCCGGGGCCGGTGGCCCGCGGTGTCCCGCCGGTGTCCCGCCTCCGGCTGAGGCGCGGCCAGACCAAATGATTCCTTTCCGGGGGCCGGTGGCCCGCGGTGTCCCGCCGGTGTCCCGCCGGTGTCCCGTCGGTGTCCCGATGATGATGATGATGATGATGATGATGATGATGATGATGATGATGATGATGATGATGATGATGATGATGATGATGATGATGATGATGATGATGATGATGATGATGATGATGATGATGATGATGATGATGATGATGATGATGATGATGATGATGATGCTGATGATGATGATGCTGATGCTGATGCTGATGCTGATGCTGATGCTGATGCTGATGCTGATGCTGATGCTGATGCTGATGCTGATGCTGCTGATGCTGATGCTGATGCTGCTGCTGCTGCTGCTGCTGATGCTGATGCTGATGCTGATGCTGATGCTGATGCTGATGCTGATGCTGATGCGCTGATGATGATGATGATGATGATGATGATGATGATGATGATGATGACGACGATGATGTTGATGAGGATGATGATTATGATGATGGAGATGGTGGTGAAGATGATGGTGTGACCGACGTGTACGCCTGCGGGCCCAATCGGCCCTGGGGCAGCGCACACTTCCGAGACTCGAGGACCGAAGGTCGAGGGCCGATGACCGAGCTTCGAGGGCCGCACACCGAGTTCGAGGATCGAAGGGCGTGCGCGAGCTTTCTCGGTACGGCGCCGAACTTCGGGCGAAGAGAGCTATGCTCATGCACCGGTCCTGAACGCCCATCCTTGACCCAGGATCGGTGCGTATACCTTCCTGGCCAAGGCAAGGGGGCTTATGCACCGATCCTGGGCTCACGATGGTCCTGGCCAGAATCGGTGTATGTGCACAGTTCTCTTTCCTCTAAGAACTGCTACCCACTCTGTGATCGGGCAGGGCTCTGGACCTCGGTCCGCCCGTTCGATCCGAGCCGGGGAGCCTGCTCGCGGCCGCCGGGGTTCGCCGTGCCCGGAGGCGCCCCTGTCGTTCCTGCAGTGCGGTTCGGGGGCTCGGGGGCGGCAAAGAGGGGGGGGATGACTTGGGGGGGGGATCTCATGGCGGGGGCCAGGATATGTCCCCGGATTTCATGGCGCCTCTTCTGAATTATTTCATCATAACGTCCCTGGTCCCCCCGCTGGGCCGCGCACGTGCCGCCGGTCATGATTTGCACCCCCCCCCCCTCTTGGACACCCCTCTCTTGGCCGCTCCCGAGGGGTGGGCAGAACCCCCACCCTGACACGTTGATCAGTGAATTGCCCGTTTTCGGTTCTCGAGAGAGCGCCGCGGCCGTTATGTTCCAGGCTTGTGCCCGCCAGTTCTGGGGCCCGAGGTCGTTTTCACTAAACCACGTTTTATTAAAGGGGGGTCTGTCCATCCCCGAGCGGTGCCCCATCTGGTAGCACGGGGATCTATGCCTCCTAGATGAGGTAGGAGTAGATGGGGTCGGAAGATCGCGCCGCGGCTCGACGATGGGCCCGATTTCCTCCACGCCGATGTCGCCGATACATCGGCCACGTATTGGCGATGCGGTGCGATCCTTCGACCCCATCTACTCCGACCCCATCTAGGAGGCCTCTAGATGATTGTACCCTTGCGGGTCAAGCGGGCCCTGCGGTATTGAACGCCTCCGGTCTCAGAAAGCCGGCGCCTCGGAAAAGTTTGGGCGGTCGGCTCGTCGCTGCTCCTTGCGTGCGGGGGTTGGGGTTTCGGGCCTCGGGCCGTCAGGGTACGGTTCGGGATGGAAAGCTGGCCTTCGGGAAGGGGTCGAGGAGTCTGGGGGCCCGCGCATCGAAAAAGTCGGAGCGCCTGATGTTCGGCCTGGGCTGCGTTCGGCGGCGGGCCTCCCGCACACTCCGGGCCCCCGCCGGACTCTCAGAGGCCTGACCCGCAGGGGCAGGGCTCACCTGATGCTGCCCGCTCTGGCCTCGCCGAGGCGCCCCGCTGCAGAGGAGCCCTCCCCCCCGGCTCGCGGCTCGAGGGCTCGGGGCTCGGCTCGATCCTTCTGCGCCTCGACCCTCTCGAGAACGCCGGCCCTCGAGCCGGGCGGGATGGCCTGGGCGCCGACGGGGGGGAATCCGGCTCCCTGCCCCGACCGCCCACCGTCGGGGGCGGAAAAGAGGGGGGTGATGACTAGGGGGGGGTGGATATCATGGCGTGGGCCATGATATTTCCGCAGATTTCACGGCGCCTCTTCTTATTTCATTACGTCCCTGGCCCCCCCGCTGGGCCGCGCACGTGCCGCCGGTCATGATTTGCACCCCCCCCTCTTGGACACCCCCCTCTTGGCCGCTCCCGACACCGCCCATGCCTCGCCGAGCGGGACCGGGGCGCCCCGCCCTGGCCAGGAGTGGCAATTTCCCCCATCGGGGGGCCTGCGGGTCCACCCGCGCAGACGGGAGGAGCACCTCTCGGAGGTGCCAGTGGAGACCCATGACTCAGAGAGACCCTGCTCGCCTCAGGGTGCCCTGCGTTTCTTTGGGTTTCGAGGGTTTTGCTGTGGAAAGCGTGACGCTCCCATGCACGAAAATCCGTGGACGTCCTGGGGTCTCAGGGGTGGGTTTCTTGTAGAGGGTCTCTTGTGGACTGGCCTCCAAGATTACCCTTCCATCCTTCTCCTTCGGCCTATCCTCGGCCGCTCTGGCTGGCCGTGCCCCGCTCGCAGAGTGTCGGCATGGCCTTCCAGTGCCCTGGCAGCCTCATCGTGCACCCTTGCGGTACGGGTTGACTGCATCAGTGATGTGTCCTTACTGTAGCGGCGGTGACGAGAGGGGCGAAAAGCCCAGGGGCGGGCATTACACGTATTCGCCCGGGAGCCTTTTCGGAGACATCGATCATCGGCGCACCTGAATACACGTATTGCTCCTTCCTGGGCTATTCGCCCCTATCGTCGCTTCTGATTGTATCGGATTGATGTACCACTGCTTCCCTCCTGGGACAGGCCCCCGCCCTTTCGTCTCCCGTGCAGGACCGAGGTTCGAGGCGAGCCGTGGGCCCGAAGAGCAGGGCGCGAGGGACCGAGGCCCGACTCGATCCTCGATCCTCGAGCCTCGACCCTCAAGCCAGGGGGGGAGGCGTGCTTTTTTGACGCCGAACTCGGCCTCAGAAGTCACGCAGCTCGCAGCTCCCTCAGGAGCATCGAGGTGCGAGGATCGAGGTTCCAGCCGAACCGCTCGAGGGCTCGCAGGACCGCGGCCCGCGCACGCGCGCACCCGCCAGGAGACCTTCGGCGACACCCAGCGGCCCCCGAGGCCGTCCGGCGGCCGCCCCAGCAAGGGCCGCCGGCGCGGCGGGGGTCCGCGGGGCTACCGCTCCTGAAGCGGCACCCCCTCGGGCGCTGCTCCCGGGCTGCGGACGTGCGCGGCGGCCGCTGGAAGTGGGCATTTTTCTGGATTCCCAGAGCAAGGTCTACTCTGGGCGCCTCCCTGCTTCAAGAGTCGAGCGGTTCTCTCCCTCCCTCCTCCTTCCTCCGCCTCGTCGGGGGGGCAGGCGGCAGCCCAGTCTGCTTTCCCCGCCTGCCTCGTGCTTCCGCCCGCCTCTTCCGACCGGCGGGTGTCCACGTCCGCGCCCGCGCGGTCTGGGCTCCGGGGGCGCGGTCCCGCGGGTGCGCGGCCCCGCGGAGGCGCCCGCTCTGGCCCACGAGCTTTCAGTCAGGCCTGTCCCGGAGACTCAAAACTAGTCAAACAATAGTCGGGGAACTATGTTTGGAGTACTGTTGAACATGTTTGGTGCATTTTTTGGAGTATTTTTCATTTTTCGCCCGAAATCACCCTGTAGGGGGACAGGCCCGACCTAACACGAGTTGCCAGAGGTGCCCCTGGGTCGCGCTTGCAGGCGGAATCTCGCCCGCAAATCGGCGTGGCTGGAAGTGCTCCTGGCCCAAGGTGCCCCCCGGGTTTCCATGGAGGCCCCCACGGCCTCCAGAGCATCCCTCACGACATCCAGGGGGCCCCAGGGGGCCCCAGGGGCTCCAAAAGGGAGCGAAAAGCTGGGGGCATCTTGGCCCAGGGGCACCTTTAGCAACCCCCGACCAATCCCCGAGCTCCCCCTCTCAGAAATATCAGGCCGTTCAGGAGCGGTGGTGACTTCGGGGATGCACCCTCAGGGGGCGGTTCGCACGCACGCTCATCGAGGCCAGACTCCGATCCTCTTGGAATTATCTTGGGACCTTGCAGCCCATCCAGAAGCAGAACGCCAGGCGAGTTGCCTTGATCAGGAAAGTGTAGAAGCATGCAGTGTAACAACCGTCTTGGATGCGTTTTCTTGGAGGTCTGTTGGAGCCATCTTGGGGCTCTCTTTGGGTCCACGCGGAGCCTCTTGGGGCACTCTTGAGGCCCTCGTGGAGCTCTGTGTCTGGGAGGCCTCTTGGGGCCACCTTGGCCCCCGGGAGTCATGAGGAGGGCGCGCCGCTGGGTGGCCCCAGGGGGTGGGGGGGTGGGACCCCCCCCTTCCCCGATCCGTCGTCGGGGAACACCCCCCCCTTACCCCCCTTTTCCGGTCCGTCGTCGGGGAATCCCCCCTGCCCTTCCCCCCTTTCCAGGTACGTCGTCGGGGACCCGACCCCCTTTTCAAACGGGGGGGGGGGGGTCCGAACTCCCCCCGCCCCCTCCCCCCCTTTGGCCGCCAAATTCGAACACCCCCACCCCCTCCCTCCTTTCGCCACGGCGCCCCCTGGCTCCTGAACCCGACCTACCACCCCTAACACTACCACCCCGATCACCCGTAACCCTAACCCCAAACCCTGACCCTAGCCCCATACAGTATTCAGTATTCATAATTCACTACTCACTACTTAATACTCACGACCCACTTTTCACTTCTCACTACTCACTAATCACCACTCCCCACTCACTACTCACTACTCACTCCTCACTACTCACTCCTCACTACTCGCTACTCCCTATTCGCTAGTCACTACTCACTACTCACTACTCACTACGGACTACTCCCTCCTCACTACTCACTACTCACAACGCCCTACTCGCTATTCACTATTCACTACTCTCTACTTGCTATTCGCTACTCACTCCTCACTACCCACTCCCCATTACCCACTACTCACTAATCACTACCCACTACGCACTACCCCCTACTCGCTACTCCCTACTCGCTACTCACTACTGACTACTCCCTCCTCATTACTCATTACTCACAATGCCCTACTCGGTACTTACTAGTCACTACTCGCTATTCACTACTCACTACCAACTCCCCACCACCCACTACTCACGACTCACTACTCACTACTCACTGCGCTCTACTCCCCACCCACTACTCACTCCTCACTACTCGCAACTATCTACTCACTGCTCACTGTTCACTAGTCACTACTTACTACTCACTAGTCTATACTCACTATTCTACTCACTATCCCGAGGCCAGACCACCGCCCCCCCTTGCGGGAGAGGCCCCCTCCCCGGCCCCGGGGTCGGCGCAAAGGGGGGGAGGGGGGGGGTTCAAACCTCCCTTCACCCTCCAGCGCCAGGGGGGGGGGGTTCTGTGAGCACGCGCCCCCTTTTCAATTGCATCGGCGGCGCTGGGCGCCGGGGCATGTGGCGCGCCGCCGTCCCGCTCGTGGCCCGGCTCTCGGAGGAGCAGGAGGCAAGGATGAAGGTGCGCTCCGATATGTCCAGGATCTCAGAGATTCCCTGCTTCAGGCCTCCCAGATGGTGTCGGAGTAGATAGATCGAGTCGGAGAATCGCGCCGCATCGCAGATGCATTGGCGATGCGGCTCGACGTGGAGCCTTTTCTCCATGCCGACGTCGCCGGTGCATCGCCGACGTCGCCGGTGCATCACCGATTCCGATGCGTCGCCCATACATCGGCGATGCGGTACAATTCTCCGACCCCATTTGCTCGGACCCCGTCTGGGAGGCCTCTACTTCTGCTCCGCATGGGCTCCAGGAGCGTGGGCTGCTGGGTGCGCTAGAATTCCTGGAGCGTATGCAGAGCCAGTGGTATCATCAAGTCTCGTTGCGTGATTTTTCCTATCCCTAACCAGACCACTGGGTCGGTTTTGGAGGTCGCCGCGGCGGTCGCGGCGGCCATACATCGGGTCGAGGTTTGTGTCAAGGAGTGGTGTGCCGACATGCCCCTTCCCAGGTCCCGCCACCGCTCTGCGATGTAGACGTTGCCCACAATTCGTTATGCAGCGACAGGGAAGTACCACTTTGTGTCCAACAGACGCAGTCGTGCTTTCTTTGGGTAGAGGTCGACTATCACCGGGCTCGTTTCGATTCCTCCGATTCGATCCGATTCGATTTCGACGGCTTCCGATTCCGATTCGACTCGACTCCAGATTCCGAATTGGGCTCCGGTTTCCCAAGGGAGCCCTACTAGCCTGCCGATTTCCGCCGATTCGACTTCCCCCGAACCGGCTGCCGATTTCCGCCGATCCGATTCGCTTCGATCGCCCATCCGACTTATCGATTCGATCCTGGGCTCTCCTGCTATCATCGGGGGCGGAAAAGAGGGGGGTGATGACTAGGGGGGGGTGGATATCATGGCGGGGGTCATGATGTTTCCCCAGATTTCAGGGCGCCTCTTCTTATTTCATTACGTCCCTGGCCCCCCCGCTGGGCCGCGCACATGCCGCCGGTCATGATTTGCACCCCCCCTCTTGGACACCCCCCTCTTGGCCGCTCCCGATATCGCGCAACCAACGTCACTCCTGCCCCAGGCTCGCTTCCCGCCCCTCTCTTTCCTCCGCGCGCTCGGCGGCGGCGCCCCGCGGGCGCGCCGCGCCCGAGCGCCCCCGGCGTGAGCCTGCGCCTCGGCGCCCTGCCCGCCAACTCGCTGCAGCTCGTCTGGTACAGTCGGGCCGGGCGAAAGGGGGGGATTGGGAAAGGGGGGGTTACGAAATCTGCTGCATGCAGCTGGTTTCGGCCCCACCGAGGGGGCCCATTCCTCGATACATGGCCGCCTCCAGGCGCCGGGAGGCGCTGGGAAAATCAGCTACGTGAGCTGATTCTCAAACCCCCCCTTTGCTATCCCCCCCTTTCGCCCGACCCGATACAGCGAAGGCCCAAGGCCGCAATTGCTTCGAGAGCTGCTGCACACCTCACCTCGGGCGCGCAGGACTGGTCCAGGGGGGCGACGTCAGGGGGGGGGGGCCGGGGCGGAGGGGCTCCAGGGGGGCGGGCGGGGGGGGTGCATCGACCCCCAAACGCCCGTGCATCGCCGATGGGGGCCCGAGGGCTCACATCCCGCCCGGGAGAACCCGCGTTGCGGCGATCGGATCGGAGGCCCGTCGCCGATCCATCGGCGATGCGTCGCCGATTTCAGGTCGTTGTTCCCCCCCCCCCCCCTCGCTATCTGGGAAGCTCTACGAGTCATGCCTGGAGAGCGTGCAAGCTGGCTAAAAACTTGCAGGAGACGCTTGCCAGGGCCCTGGAAAGCATGCCTGAGGAGCTGGCAAGCTTCTGGACGCAAGCTGCCAAGGAGCTTCGGGGGAGCCTCGACCCCCCCCCCCTGAGCCGGTTCCCGCCTGACGTTGCCCCCCAAGCGAGGAGGACGAGGATCAATCACGAGGGAGAAGCGACGAAAGGACGCGCCGAGCGCTGCCTCTGTGCTCCCTTTGGCCCATCCCCTGGGACCGACGCTGGCGGAGCGCTTGGAGAGCCTCCTTGCTGAGGCTGAGTCGGGTGCTGCCAAGGGTGTCCCTGGCCCAGGGTGCCTCCAGCTCCTTGCGGCCCTCTCGGAGCCCGTGGGGGCCCCTGCAGTCTGCCCTGGTTATAGTAGGTCGACCCTGCCAAATCAAGGGTACCCTTGGGTGCCCTTGTGTCCCTTGTGTCCTGTGCCTTGCGACCCATGCCTCCTACATTCCCCCATTCCCCATGCCAATGTGGCCCTCGGAACGGTCTGGTGTCCTCTCGCGTGTCCTCTCGAGAGGCTGCCTGGGCCTCCCTGGGGCAACTGGGGCCGCCTCCCCAGACCGCAGACGTCGCGATTCCTTTTCACATCGTCGACCCCCTCCTCGCTCCTCCTCCTCCTCCTCCTCCTCCTCCTCCTCCTCCTCCTCAGCCCTGGACCCCCCCCCCAGGCCTGTTTCCTTGGCGGCCCTCGTTCACGGAAGCCGAACACGGGCAGGAAAGAGCCGTCGTTCTTTGTTGGGGGCGCGAGCCGTGCAACCCCGAGAGAAGACGCCCCCCCCGAACATAATAGCATCGTAGGAAAGCTCGACAATGAGCCCTGGACCCCGTGTTGCTGCGGCACTTCTCGAGCCGGAGCGATCTGTGGTGTGGCCCCACGGCCTGGGGCCGTGCGAGAACGCCCGTTGTGGAAAAGAGTTGGGGCGCCCGAGTCGTAGGGAGAGGCC